AACGTTCCATCGTTGATCGATTGTTTTTGTTGTGAATTCAGGACAAACTGTTAACTTGTGTTGTCCTCTGCAGTCTGGGCACACAATCGTGTGTCCCTTATTCTCATTTTCTACAGTTTCAACTGTAAAAACATGTCTCTTATTCCTAAGCGGTATCGCTGTCTGCCTATGCATCGTGGGTGGTCGCGGTATTTCTTTTTTTACATATGTAGGCGCCGAATATCCATATTTCATAGCCCTTCTCGCCTCTTGCGTAAGATGGTTTGAAAGTTGAATTATGTCTGGTATATCCTGCTTCTCATTTTCCTCTGCAAATATATACCAGTTCGATCGTTGATGGGGACTCATTTTCTCCAGTACTTCCCTGGTCAGCATTGGGTTGAACAGATAACCTTTTTTTACTTGACTCAGAACTGTTACGATGTTTTGTACTTTAACTGCGAATGCATTAAATTCGCTAGTGGACTGCCCTGGTCGTGGCAGTCGCTTCAAGTCTTCAATAGCACGATCGGCTATTATTTCGGGATGACCGAAGCATTGTTCCAGCGTTTCCATAATACGATCTGGATGGGTCGAGGCATTCAGCAACGGTGCTACCATTTCTCTAGCTTCACCCCGCAGACTGTTTCGCAATCTCGCTATGTTTTCGACTGCTGTAAAGCGATACAGTGCTGTCGTCTCCGTCATAGCTGCGCGGAATTGAAGCCATTCCCACGGCGACCCAGTAAATATGGGTAAATCAGTAGCTTGTCGTGGTGGTGGCCTGGACTTCATAAGAAATTCTACCGCGCTCGTTAGCTTGTCTATGGCTCGTTCCATTATGTTCGTCGGTGTTGATGATCGTCGATGCTGGTCTTCATTGTTCTGTGTCTTGATCGGGGTTTTTAATTGTTCCCCGTTCTCGTGGCGAGTCGGTTTGGTACTTATAAATACCGACTCCCCTCGTATGTTGTCCGTGGGTGGTCCATTTTGTTTCAACCACTCCTGGACACGATGTTCGTTCTGTTCTGGTTCCCCTGGGTCTGCTGAATATCTGTTCGAGGCGGCAGTGTTCATTGCTAGCTTCTGACGTGTACGATTGTCCATTTTAGGATCCATGTCAGCTAGCTGCATCGCCTCGTCCTGCACGCTTCTTATAGATTGTACGGACGGTGTCGGTGTTCCTCTTCTATATTGTGTGACTTCTTGCCTCATTGCGGTGGCGGTTGACGGCCCGGCGAATTGTTCGGCGCCGGCCGTCCAATTTTCAACCTGATATCCGCGGCGTGTGGAGGGTACGGTGTCACCGGGGCTCCGATGTTCCTGGGGGCCCACCCTATTCATTGACGGTGACTGTGGTGATTTTTCATCTAGCGCTGCCGCTTGTTCATCACGTTCCGCTTGGCCTCTTGTGACTACCATTTTATCTCCGTAGGTCGCTGTCAGCAGATCCGGCGCTCGAAGGTCCAACACTGTTGGCGACAGCTCCTCAGGGAGAGCAGTGGACTGTATCGATGGTGGGGTTTGAAAGAAACGGTTGTCTCTCGAAGCCTGTTTATTCTCTCCACAGAAGTTTCACAATTGAGTTATAGCCGTATTCGATGTTACATTCAAGTTTCAGCCGCTGTAGCTCAGACTGTATGGCGTCTATAAGAAACTACCGCGACTGACTTTACAATAATAACGGACTATAACTGCCGTCCGTACTGTGTTAGATTATGACAGCCGTCGACATATAACAATCCGACTATGACTGTCTGAGTCCCTCTATTATAACAGTATTATGACTGCATTATAACTATATTACGACTAACTCGATACAAAAATTCCTCGCCTTATATATGGGAGGTATAGACTGTAGTGGGGACTACAGTCCTTACAAAATTCTTACTGGCAATAAACCAAACCTTATTTCTATCAGACAATGCACAACGTTATACAACTTCATAACAATATCTTTGCACATTGCCGAAATTCCCTTACTTCTTTATTCTCACAAACTAACAGTTACTCATAAAGAATGCATTGCATTTTACAACTCCACCCAAGAATATTTAACATTGGTGCAATAACCAATTTCCTTGTCTAATTACAATGCACTGTAAACACGGATTGGACAATATTCATAAAGACATGAATTACCGTGTTCCGTCCGTTAGTCTACAATAAGAATATGTTTACAATAAGAAACCCTACGGTCATCATAAACCCGATGGCTAGAAAATAGTAACGGTGTTATCTTATCACAAAAGGCCAACAAATATTCATTGTGTTTATAAACAATGAATGCCAAATGAACGCTGGTACCCAAACAGATGTTCAACCGTTATCGTAGTTTTAAACAGTGAATCGATGTCTTATTCTAAAACAGCACTTTTAAAAACTAATATTATTTCTAAGTTATTGTCCAATTTCAACACACAACTTATTGTCTACCTAATCTACACAAATATTATAGGTGCGTCGCGACGCCGCTTATATGTGTCGCCTGTCGTCAATACCTTATATATAAATTCCAAACTGTGTCTGACAAACAAAGACACAGACAGATCTGTCTATATGTTTGACTTTATCACAGCTAAAAAAAAATATATGTACATTGTATATAGTTTATACGCCGTGGACGAACATCTTCCATCTGAATAAAAAGTAGACGAAGTGTCGGGTAATAACTAGTAGGTATATTACATATATCGTATAACAAACTGAAACCCAGATAGTAAAAACAATAATTTATGCAATGAATGAAAAAATCTAAACCAAATTTTTAAGCAGTAGCAGTATCTACGTTATTACTATCACTCTACGCATAAAACTGAAATACACCAATACAAAAAGAAATAAACAAATCAGATTGTTCATATGACTGAGCAGTTTGTACTCGTATAGGTACCTAGTGATTTTCTACGTTGCTGATTTCCAAAAGTTGATCTGTACGCATATTTTTGTCATTGGCTTTCGGATTGATCTACCTAGTAAATAAGTACTTTGGTATCAACATAAGTTCTAATTAGTACCAACTGTATAACTACCAGTTTTCTCTGGAAGGACCGTAGAACAACTAGGTACTATATTTATGTAAAAAAAAACGGCAAAGAAGCTGACTGACCTGATGGTACCTACGTCATAATCGTCGCCTACATTCACGAACTAAGAACATCACATTATGTGACGCCAGTACAGCATAAAACAACGATGAATTTGGAATACACCCCCACCAGCCTGCACTGACGGTATACGCCAGTATACTGTCAGTAAAGGATGATAGAATGAGTGTGAAGTCAGCCCGTGCCAAAATCACTCTGAAATATACACTAGACCGCGTGAAGGTCGACCTGACATAGTACTTTGCTAGCATTAGGATTGGTAATCCCATTACTATTCTCCTATCTTCCATATTTGAGTGAAAATATTAACAAATTATCTCACATAATCTGTATCTGTATCTCGGTACCTATTTCAAATAGAGAGGATAGAACACTTAGATACTGTACCCACTACTTAAAAAATATATAATCTCACAAGTACCTACCTACTTACAATCCCATCTCCTTCCTATACCTACTTGATATTTGCGAAACCGTTTTGTGATACTATCAATAAAAATATGTAGGTGGATACCACATAGGTACCTACTCCAATTCGTAACTACGTCTATTTCAACTATCAAATTGATGGATTACATAGTCCATATGCCATTGGTGATCATAACTGGTATGTCAAGAATTTCCTATTGACAAATATCTATATCAATACCATCATGACGTCTGTCCGCCACTGCTTTCTAAACAATTAATTAAATTAATAAATTCTACACCGGGCCGCGGTACTTGCTTTAGGGTTCCATAAAAAGTGTATGAAATTTTTCTTTCTTCTTTAGAAAACGTTACGAATATTTGTATGTTTGTGTAGCTTTATATTATATTAAAATTATAGAACCATATTTATCTATTTTTTTTGTATTCATTTATTATAAATCACGGCCATACTAGTACCATTTTAAATTTTTACTCACAAAACCCTCGATAACTCTCACTCGTCAGGTACCTACATCAGATACCTCCCCGCTTCACTAGGTACAATAGTATGTACGAGGATTAAAGTCCCATCCTGCAGTTTATGTTAATAATCTACTTATACTAGAGGTATTTAAAAAAACCAACGTTAACTTTTCCGACATAAATTCTTTCTTAAGCATCGATTCAAAATTAGAACACTTTTATTACACTGGAATGATAAACAAGCTGATCATAATGGTATGTGGTCACCCATATACATAAATAGCATTACCCTATCACAGCGCCATGGCACATGGTATTCATCATGTGTTTCCGTTCTGAAGGACTAAGATGTTATAATTATTTTTAGAACTACTCCAGCCTATTTGCCGTGACAGACTTTACAGATTGACCATACGAAAAAGGTCTACGAAGAAACTCCAAACTCAAAGCGTCTGTAGACCAACTCCTGACTGACGGTTTCGAGATGTCTCGCCACACTTTGTGAAACGAAAACGAGGTTCCAAAACAAGTAACTTGGCGGCTATAATAGGTCAATCAGAGGTACCCAAAACTTTATACAGAATCTACCTCCGTAAGAAAGAAAAAACATGAAATATTATTAGGATAGGTAAGTATTTAAATTTGTTTTATGTAAAGGCTTAGATACAGCGACATCTAGTCCAGAACAAAGCAAATATTGTACTATTGTTGCCAGTATACAAATATATTTTAAACGTTATGAATAAATATCATTGAACAACAGAATAAACAGATATTGAAATATGCACTTTATATATAATATGTATTTTATGTATAATAATATGCAATAATACGTCCTCTTTCCTCATTCTTTTTTCAAAAGAATTAGATAAATACTTTTATCTATCTGTAAATAAGTAAACATCGTATATGGTTCATTCTCAATCGTATTAACAAATGAATATGTATATATTCATTTCAAATTTCGCTAACACTAAGAGAAATCCATTGTTAGCAACATTACAGTCATCCGCTGTCAATGTTACAATTGATAAACCTCAAAGTCATATTCTGATTCGGAATTATCATATTTGTCAGATCGACTATTAAATATGTAATGTCTTTTATATTTGAAACAAATATAAATAGATATTATAATTTGTGATGACAATATTTACATAGACTTATAGTTTAACTTTTGCCATTGTTATTATTCCTCTAAACTTCTACGGTTCTGTGATCTTTTTGCTCGTACTTATTATGCACGTTACCACCGGCAACTCCAGCAATTGAAAAGTAATAAACAAACATTGTTTGAATCTATGAAAATAAATTTTAGTGTATAAAATTATATCAGGTTATTAAAGTCTATTAGTCGCGATGGCTGACGACGAAGGTAAGCAGAAAAAAATAACCTTAGAAACTAGAGTTACAGTAATATTGTTCCTTTTTAAAGGAACAGGACCTTTGAGTCCATAGCCTAGCCTTGTTTGTTAGCACTATAGATTAATATGTGTCATATGAGCATCATATTAAGGCAAATAAATAAATACAGTAGAATTCTCATAACATGAACACTGGTAAACCAGACATCCATTGTTGATATTCTTGCTTTCTATGCTGTGCATTAGTTCTAGACTGCAATTAGGTAGTGAAATGGTAATATCAAAGGCATGACATCTCTCTCCCTCTCTCATGATATTCCTCTGGAAAGGCAATACAACATTGGGATGCTACTGTATTTATGAATATCAAACAGTAATTGAATATAGATATATTAAATAAAGATTGTTAATATACTTCTATTCTAAAATTCTAGCACCTTCGGACAGCAGTCTCTTGGTGATAGTGGTTGACACAAATCCAAACCAGCGCTACATTACAGAGGACCCCAAAGTGTTAACAGGTTGCCTTGATGCTGTAATCGCATTTGCAAACTCACACCTAATGCAAAAATCTAGTAATCTGCTAGCTGTTATTGGGTGTCATTTTCATAAAAGGTAAATAAAATAATTACATATTTAAGTGTTAAATTAATTATGAAACTAAGTAGAAAATTTTAAGAAGGTATTGTGTAATATATTTTAAGCTATTGTCACTAACTTAATTCAAATAGCCAATGCTATTGTCTATGATTTCTTTTATTAAATATAAATTATTAATTAAAATATAATAATATCATATATATAATAATATATGTGTTATGTGTACTAGACAATTAATACTAAGAGACATCTATTTATGTAAATACATAAAAAGTGTCGAAGCCAGTACAATTTAATCATTGCATTATTATCCATTTAATGGTCATTATCTCTTACATGTGTTTGTGTTTTTTTACATTGCAGTGAATACCTATATCCATCTCCTGGTAAACCATTGGATGTAAGACAAATTGATGGACAGTATGAATTGTTTACTTTAGTGGAAAAAACAATTAAAATGAGGTATGAGTATGAATTTCATTTCTATCTGTATTCGATATTTACTTACATGCTTGAAATATACAATTTTCTTTATATTTGTTAAAATAGGTTCATCTAATAAAATATTTTTTAGTACAAAATGGATGACAAAAATAACAGGAAGTATAAATATATGTTAATATTTCTTATTTCAGATTAGTAAATTTAATAAAAAGTCAACCACAGGAAGACAAGCCTGGGGAGTCGTTACTTGCAGGGGCTCTAGCTATGGGACTCTGTTTTATATCAAGGGTCAGTAAACCATTAAGAAATAAAAAAGTAAATCATATATATATATATATATTAAATATTTGTATAAATTTAATGTGAGATTCGATAAGTTGATGCAAGAAGTAGAACATTGTGGAAAAGGAAATATAGAAATATGCGAGATAGAGAGAGCAAGAGGTAAAAATAAAAAAAGGAAATAGACCATGAAACAATAAAACAATAGAATAGAGATAAATGAAAGATGCAGAAATAAGTTTAAGTCCAATTAAACCTATTTAGAAAAGTATTCAACACTGGAACAGTCTGATGTGCTCAAGGATGGGGAATAGTAATTTCTCTTATAACAGAATGTATTACGTATTTTGATAAACAAAAATTATTATAGGGTTGTATAGAAGTTATTTTTATTCCTGTGTTTATACATGTATAATCTATTGGAATACATGAATGTACTTACTAGTGATATAAAAAAATATTTAAATGGATTATTGACAATTTAATAATAGTTTTAGGCCTATCTGTAAATACAGTTGTATTTACTTTATATTTGTATTTGCAACAGTTGCGTCGGGAGGCCGCGCCGGGCATACGAATGAGTAGCCGGATCCTCATAGTGACTGGCAGTTCCGACACTGCGGCACAATACATCAACTACATGAATGTATTCTTCACTGCACAGGTTTGTACTAGTCCTATGGTTTTAGATGAGTGGAAAATCTTTAAAGGCTTATCCACCAGTCGAAATATCCAGGTGCTGGTTGGATTCTTACCATACTAAACCACAAATTGTACCTTAAGGCACATGGTCGGGTTAGCGTTCTACCACCCTATAGTCACTTCTCCGTAAGGGTAACGGTTCGCCCTATTCGTCTAAATTCTCTTGGCCCTTTCGGAGGATACTGCTTCCATGAAGGTCTTCTGTGATGGGTTAAATGAGTGAAAGGAAAATACACTCGCCCGTTTTCCGCCGCCTCTACTGAATATTTTACTCTAAAGATGAAAGTATATACTAGTTCCAGGCCAACTAGACTTGAGACTTGTGTTACTAGACTAGACTCTATATTTTTATTTGCTCCCAAGGCTGTTTCTTATAATGATAAGATGTCTTATCATGTAATATCACTGCCTTATCTCAACCCTTATACTGAAACACAGCTTACAAAATAAATTCTGCGTGGGTATCTCTGTCTACCTATTTCACCTTGCAGGTAGCAGAGATTACTTTTTACAAAGTCAAAAGAACAAAATTTACATGCCTAGTTAATTCAAAGACACCTTGGAAACTTGTTTGTTCTTGGTTGAAACTTACTATTGAGAGCTTTAAAAAGTAGCTATACATCTAAATTAATCCATATGAAATCTAATCATAATTGCTTTTTAATAGCATCTGTTCAATTACGTATTTAATCAATAAATGCAAATAGGTCTATAAAAAAAAGTATTATTGTAATTATATGCAAGTGTGGTTGCCTTTTTAATCTAAATATATCAAATAATCTGTTTTTATCTAAATCCTATACTATTTAAAAGTCTGGCTTCATTTAGTCCATACGCCCAACAATACTAGGGCTCCTTCAATCAATTCACTGTTCCTTTCAAATTGAGAAATTACGAAATTACGCCTCTCTGAGATATGGTTCAAACCTCTATCAATGCCTCGTATCTGTCAGGCGGACTTCAGGAGCTATATAATTTCGCGGATTTGAATATTTATAATTCAGCACTGATCCCTAATTTTGTTGGCTGTTCGAGAAAACATGCGGTTTCGGCTAACAGCCAACAATACATAGTAAAATAGTTCATAAAAGGACTATACTATGCTGTTGTTGTTTGATAGTTTGAATAATTCATGCAGTATCTTAATAATTTTGAGTTGAATATGTTTAAAACACCAACAGGCAAATCTATTGCAAATTTTTGGTCTGGTGATCTACTTGATATGCCTTTCAAAAGTGGGGTAAATAAAAACTAATTTAAAATAATTATTGCTGTGGTGCACCACTGTAATTTCTTAATTTTATGTTCATTGAACATAAAATATTTCCATATATGCCATAATACCATAGTATATTATATATATTCCATCTGTAAAATAAATTTAATTGCTATTCTATGCATGGTGAGTGTACGCAACTTATCTTCTCTAAGTTCACCTCCTTTGAACTACCTATACGTTTTCATTTCAGAAACAACAAGTACTAATAGATGTGTGTTCACTGGACAAACATCTCAGTTTATTGCAGCAAGGATGCGACATAACTGGTGGTCTATACCTGAAAGTACCCTCCTTGGAAGGTCTTTTACAGTATTTATTGGTAAGTTACAGTTCAAAGTATTATGCACATGCAAACAATATACAGAACTTATGTATGTACAGTAAATCTGACACTGGTTATCCACTTCCCTCTAGCAGGGTGAAGGTTATGGCCTAGGGGTGAACCCCTTTGCCCCGAACTAAACTTAACATAACTTAAGAAGTGGTGCCATACTTGGGATAATTTTAATGTTTTTTTGTTTGTTTGTGACTTTATACTTTTTCTTCTTTACAATAGTAGACAATGCCTCTATCTCAACAATGATAAAATGAATACCTATGTAATTACAAAATTTCATCATACACCTGCGTAGCAAAAAGTATCTGTTTATCTGTGTTAAGCTTCATGTGAAAACTGCTTGTTAAATGATCATACATGCACAAGGAATTCTGAGAGAAACCAATAATAGATTTAGTGAAAATTTTTAATTCTCTTAATAAATAAATAAAATAATAAAAGTAAATAGATGGCGCCGTATGAATGCTTAATGTATTGTTGTTGTCTGATTGTCATCAATAATCAGACGATATGACGGTGATCTACAAATGTTCGCATACGAATTCGAGGGCGCCACTAGTCGTACAACTTAATTCGGTATATCTGTAAGTGTGGTGAGTACCTTATCTTAAATAAATAAATAAATAAATTCGGTGAATTCTATGTCGGTCGATACATAATCTAACTGATTTTCAGATTAAATGTATTTATATAAAATAATGTTTGAAAAACAAAGATATTGATTTATTAAATTATTGATTTTGTGAATGAAATTCTAGTATTAAACGGTATCAATTGAATAAAATCTTAAACATGTCAGAAAGTTGCCTAAATAACGTTACAACACTTCATTATCATTAATTAAAAAAATAAACCTATATTAAGTTATTAAAGATAAGTGTTTCCGTTATAAGACTGATTACTCCTGAATAAATAGTATAGATTTTAGATGTATTTGTATCACTGTAAGGCATGATCTATTTTTTTAAATGGATGATTCTGGAATGGTGCAGTCACCTGTAATAAAGGCTTACGCTGGCGGGGAGGATGATAAGATGAGCATGAGGTCAGGTCAATTAGCCCATCGTAACAAATTCACCAGGAATTCATGAACCACGTGGAGGTCATCCTGACATAGTAGGTACATTGCTAGCAATAGATTCATGAATTCACATTACTAACAATACCATTCTCCCCTTGCATGATCTATTAACAACTTACGTATGTCTATCTGCCGACAGTGGGTGTTTCTGCCGGATGCGTCAGAACGCGGCCAACTCGTACTGCCGGGACGCGGCCGGGTGGACTACCGCGCCGCTTGCTTCTGTCACAGGGAACTACTGACCATCGGATACGTATGCTCTGTCTGCCTAAGTGGTGAGTACTGGCTTCTTCATAATATAATAAAATATATTTTTCTCCCACATGCAATTAATCAATTTTTAAAAATAAAAATTATGGGAAAATTTCACGACGCGTACAAAGCAAATGAAGTGCTGCCTCATACTTAGACGTGTTTAAGAATCTATGATAAGCATTATCGGTTTTGTATTTCTAGTTTTAACGGCATCGGTGGTATAGCGGTTTAGCATACCACTTTACTTCCGATGGTCGCGGGTTGAATTCTCGCACGGTGCCAACATTCGTATTCATGAGTATGAGTGTTGCGGTTTGGATGTTTTCTATGTATATTATATATTTATTTACAAAAAAACGAAGTATTTTATATCAATTATCTAGTACCCATAACACAAGCTCTGCTTACCGTAGGACTAGATGGCGCTACGTTAATAGTCCAGGATTATTTATTTATTTATTAGTGGACTTTGTATAAAATCGTCTATGTGTGTGTGTCGCCTATTTCTGCAATCAAGCAGATTACTTTGTAAACTGTATTCTGATTTTAAGTGGGGGAGATATAGCAGTGAAATTACAGTATATGAAGGCACCATATATTAGTCCTCAGGAATAATGTCCGTAGTTCTATTCTCGTATAGAAAACTGTCGCCTAGACAGTTAATAACTGGTTGTCCAGATGAACCGTTTTTACCACTTTATTGATCTAAAAAAGCTAGTGTAATAGCAGACTATAATAATAATAATGTATAGTATACAGCTCAGTACCAATCTAGGTAACACAGGGTCTAGACATTTCGTACTAGCTCTCGTCTCAAAAATAATATTGCGTATTTTGTTTGTGAATATGAACTTGCTTCACTTGAATAATAGACTACGCAAAATTGTTTTTCATTTATTATATGACTTTTATTTATGAGCTGACTTTTACGCCTTTTAAATAGGCATATCCTTTTGCCCTAGATTGAAGGGGCTGCGTAATACTTTCTTCAATGCGTAATTAAGTTTCTATAAATTGAACTGTTATTGTTATATTTTGTATAAGATTAAGCCATACTTTAATTTAATTAGAACGTGTTATTATTATTTTATTTATACATTAAAAAATTTAATAATTACAAGTAATGTAAATCTCTATGTGTTAAATTTTTCAATTGGAATTTTTTTTTCAGTATTCTGCAAATTCAGTCCAATATGCACAACTTGTCAGTGAGTATTAAATTCTATTTATCTTATTATATATTAAATTCTAAGCACTAATTATTAAATTAAATGAATGACGTATTTTCTATAATATGGCTATCAGCAATATTGCTATACTAATTTTGTCCAAATTTGTTTTTATTAAGTGACGCCTTATTTTCCATAGACTGGAAGTTTATTCCTTTTTTTGCATCTTATTTAGTTATAACAATATAATATAACAAAATTGTTGTCTCTATTTACTTCAATTACAATAGGTATATTACACAGAAAAACCACTTATAGTATCTATATAACTCGTGTTTATTGTTTTATATTAACTAATAATAATTAACGTATATTGAAATAGCATAATAAATGTGTTGGGTTAGCAAACGTTATAATTAAACACCAATTTTATGTCCTTAAAATTAGCAAATTAGATCTGGCCACTTCTCCCGGTGCACTATAACTACGTACATGCCGTAGACAGTTTTAGTGATCTGAAAAATCAAAATGTCATAAATAATGACTTATTTATATGTATGATATGATAATTAAGTATAATATAGAATAATTAAAAATACAGTTTAAAAATTATTGTGTATCTACAACGTATTTTTCATTATTTCAGTACGGTGTTCAAAACAGCAGGTCCCCTCCCTATCAAACCGAAAAAGAAGAAAATGAAGGTGTAATCTTAAATAACTGGTGTGTAAATACTATTTTATTATAATTATAAATTTTATATAATTTTATTGTACTTGTTTTTTTCGTTATACAGAATCGAAAATATTTTTTTCATGTTGGACATTTTAGCCGCTTTTAAACGTAAAATTTTTTGTATTATAATATTTTTCGCTACCGTCCAGTTCAGTATACTGGTTCAATTGAGACTATAAAATATTATTGCTTTTACTACTTTTCTAGTAAATAAGTTGAGTTGATTAATTAAACAATACTATTATTTTATTGAGTGATAAGAATAATCGATTATTGATATAATTATTTTTTTTATTAAAGCTACCGCGGCAAGTTTGTATATATTATCAGATAATCTTAGGAGATTAATATTATTATTTTTGCAATTGAAATAACCAACAATATAGTCTTTATAGCTAAATAAAGAAGGGATATATTTACAGCTACCGTAAAAACCATTCCAAACAGTAATTATATTGGAAGAATTATTTTCGATAATTACTTGTTTCGATAGATTTTAATTATAGATATAGGTGTTAGTTAAATAAACAAGTTAATTGATTTGTAAGGCAGATAATACTTGACTATGATAATAGGTTTCATACCAAAACAGATGAATCAATGAATAAATACCGTAAACTTGCTACCTAATATATAATATATAAATTATATCTAATAATAACCCAACTATGATTCACACAGCGCCTTCTAGTCCCAAACGAATCAGAGCGTCTATTGTAGGTAACTTATAGAAATACTTAAACATTTATTTTTAAAACAAGTATTCATAGAACACACTTTGATATCAATACAATTTGTTTTCGTTGAAATTGTTTGTACTGTGCGAGAATAGAAGCCACGACCATCTGAAGTAAAGCGCTGTACTAAACAACTGAACCATCGAGGCGCCATCAAATGTCGCATAATAAACATTTCACTTGCATGTATCGGGATAGAACAAAGAGATAAAACAATTGAAATCCTGATAAATATAGAATTATCAGCTTTTCAACAAATTATGAACATTACAAGTGTAGATGTCGTAAATGCCTACACTTTAATCTATAAACATTTACGCACTGCATTCGAGACTTTTCGATCCGCATAATCTAATATGATTTTATTATAGCAATTTTAATGGATATTGGCCGAATGATTCTCTCGCCATTTACAACACTATACGCTGTGACAACAAAGAACGATGATAGGATGTATATATTTGTCTGTCAGTTTTTCCTCTTGTTTCTTCTAAACTACGCAAATTATTTTGATAAGTTTAAGCTAAGCTGGCTTGTTTAATGCTATGCTAATAATACTAGGCAAATAATATAAAGACAGAGATAACAGACAAACTTTTGAATACAAATTATTGACCGTGTTAGGTATCGAACCCGGATCATCGGCGAGTGAAACGGCGTACTAAACAGCTAGTGGTCTAGCTGTACTGTTTAGTACGCCGTTTCACTCGCCGATGTTACTGTTCAAATGAATTGATAGTTTCTTCCAGAAAGGTTATATCTATTGTGTAGTAAATGCATACTACTTCCGTCACATACTAATAAAGTTAATATAAATTAATAGTTACTAACGAGACCCATATTGCATAATTTTTACCCGCACTTGTCTGTCATGCTCGATAGTCCATCTTGCTACTGAATTTATCGATAGTATTTACAGAATCGTAATCTGTTTCCCTACCGTTAGGTATCAGAATGATAAATCGCGCTTATGGATACTTCATCGCCTTTTGGCGGATTATTACCGCGAATACTCGTATTTAATTATGCAAATATTTTTAAACGTAACGTAAACGCCCAAAAATCCGTCTACTACTTAATGTTAAAAGCAACAAGTCTTTCGTTCAGTGCCTGTATATTATCATTTTAACATTTCATTTACATATTCCCGCAAATAGGTCAATATTTAAGAACAGCAACGTTTTGGTCCTTCGAGCCGGATAGCCACTGCTAATATTAATATATATGCTGCCTATCTATATAATATAAGGGCCAATGCATCTATTATAGACGATTTATGGCGTAATGATCCGTGAACAGCTTTTTTCGTGGCTGTATAAATCTATATACTACTAAATTAGAGATATGGAAATGAGAATCATGACTACGTGCTCATTGAGTCAAACAATCCACTAGGGAAAGTGTTCTTATGCATATTATTTTGTCAATTTCTGTCAAATTCTGTAGACCATGTTGCTTACAAGTGGGTATCTGTGATAGGTCCATAACATAAACCACAATTACACAATCAGTCTTTTATTGAACAAAGAAAATTACAATTCTTACACACTTCTAAATCTCATGACGATGAAGTGTAAGGTTTATAAATCTAAAATTATTAGGAATAAATTAAATGTATGTCTTATAAATAAAAAATAATAAAAAACCCATCAATTTGTGAAATCATTATTCATATCATGATTAATATGAAAGTATAAACGAAGCTGTAGATAACTCTAATCATAGATAACGAGTGATATACAGAAAAATATAATGCTGTACAATAATTGTGTATTGATCCGATATTGTTTATTATATATGTATACCTATATTGTAACCTAGATAACAGAATTTGCTGCACCAAGGTCAATTTTAAATAGAATTCAAAAAAGAGGAAGTTATCAATTCATTTACATTCAATCTCACCAAAATACATATATTACAGCAACACTCATTTTGCTTTCGTTATTTTTCTACAAACATTCTTGTGACATTTTCACATATAAAAATCTTATTTTGTTACATGTATGAAATTTTTTGTCAATGCTGCTTTTTTTTTAACACATTTTGTATATTTATTATACAAAAGTGTTTATTTGGTTTATACATTGTCTTACATACACAATATGTCTACGTTAAATATGGAAATTAGGTTATCTTATATTTTTCGTCCTCAGACCCTTCTGTACAGACTTTCGGATATTTTTATTTTGGATGTTGTTAATAAAATACTTCTCTGCTTTTATCATTAGAGCCTCATGACTACCCTTAATAAGTTATTATAAGAGGCTATAATTATTAAGGGAAAAAAAGAAAAAAAACCTTTATTGTTTTTTTTCTTTGATCATCAATAGATAATTTAGAATTAGCCAAGACCCTTTACGGAGTAGACACAGAGTATAGTTCGCTACAAGCTTATATTCCTATATCTCTAGAGATATCTTGCTTACCTCACATTCATAACCCAAATCTAAAAAGCTATTCCGTAGGCTCTAATCAAAAATAATAGCTGAATGATTCCTACAGCCTCTCTTCGTAGGATGACGAAGTAATAATAGGACATGTTAGCACTGCTTATGTCCCTAGGATGTCTTAAAAAGTAACTACTAGGAAATCTCGAAATAAAGCCTTACACCAATCTCGCTGTTCCACATGTTATCAATTTGTTTATAATAAGAAATCCATACCGAACAGTTATGATAATGATTTCAACCCAATTTGAGTTTTAATAACATTACCTAATTCTATATACTTCTTAAAATTAATAGGTACATTAAATAGGTAATTTGCAATAAGTGTGGATACGGAATATGATTATACGCATGATTTTATGCATGCAAAATATAAAAGGATTATCAAGCTTTATTGTAAACAAATTAATTATAAGGGAGTACGGTTGCTATATAGATATAAAAATAAATGCAAATTCTAATACGTCAAAAGTTATTATATTTATCACTTATATTACCATTAGTAAGTATGTGAGCGACCTTCCCATATCAAAGGTTTTTAAACCGTCTTCCTATATATACAAAGGCTTCTGACAGCTTATCCTACGACTTTATGTTCGTCCCAGAACTATAATTATTATGGCGTACATTATGATCATATATTTATCTAAAGCTGATGCCTCTCTAAGATATTTTATTGGAAAATATCTAGGATAATATTGTACATTTTGGAATTATATATATGAAGCAGAAATAAAATTTCTATGTATTAATATAGAAGTTTTCTAATATACCTTATATATAACACTATTCAAACCTGAATAAATATGTAATAATTGTTCATAAATTAACAATTAAATCTAGCTATGTTCCTATAATATTTTAATATTACATTAAAATATTATAGGAACATAGCTAGATTAGCCCTCCATAGGACCTTACTGTACTAATATGGTTCTATGTATTATTATTATTATTGATATGGTCTGAAATATAATAAACAATAGATAAATTAATTTATAGAAAGAAAGAGATTTGTAAACTCTTTATAGTTTTCGGAGTTTTTTTTTGTTGTTACTTTCACCACTTGACAAGGTTAATATTCAGCCACAAATTAATATTCACAAATCCAATTCAACATTATCATCATGAATAATAACGTGATAGATATTATAATCATGATTTGATATATCTGATCGATTCAACATTTTTAGATAGGTGTCTACTTCAGTAGGCATCTGCTTATGTTAACAATTGTCTACTATTCAAACTAGTCTAGACAAAACCAATGTACCTATTTATAACTATTTTAACGCTATGAACCATTCTATTTTCCTACTAGTAAAACTGCTCTAGAGTCTTAATCTCAATTTCGATTTCAATCTTATACATTTTTGTACGGTTCTTTTCTCAGTCAGTCATTCATTGGTCACGAAATATGGAATCATCTAGTGCATAATACAAAAGGCATTAAAATTCAAAGATCAAAATAGAACAATCTAATTATATTGGATAAAAATTAGAGACCAGAATAGACCGGCATATTTACTGCTGTAAGACATCAAAGGCAACGTCTCTTTTGTTGTCATACGTACACATAATAGTTCACTGTAGGTATAGAAAAATGACCGCTAACGTCCTTTTTTCTCTAAATAAAAATGCTAACAGTAATAACACGGAACGAATTGAAATGTAAAATTATTTCAAGTAATTGTCTAGTCTAGAACTACGATATTGGGATTTTGTATATCGACACTGGTAAACAAGTGATATATATGTCATTAGACTTAAGGAACTACTAATTTATCTATATGTATATTGATTGTGATTATACACTTTTCATTATACATAGTAATTAGAAACTTTAATAGTATTTAAAAAGATTGTTTAAATATATTTACGATCTCTGCAAGTAGTAAACGAATCTAATGACCGCAAATCTATTGCTGCATACATGAGATAGGACGAGACTAAACCGTTGAACGTCTTATCCTGGTCACACATCGGTCGAGTCCGACGACGCACTCTGACAACGCCACTCGATTGACACATTGTTTGCTACACATCAACACACGGTGACTTGTTAGGTTACATTGAACAGTCAAATAGCGTTTTAAATTGCTTGCTGGTATACTTTTATAGATTGCCACATATTTCCTTGTAAGAAACGTAATGGAAATATAATATTTAATTTTAATTTTTTCAGTGAAACTAATTCCGTCGTACACTAACAAATATTACTAAACGGACTGAATAACCCACCCCCCTTCCGTTCTTCACTGTTAAGCTGTTCAAATAAATATCCGCCACTGAGTATCGCTGTTCCCACTGTCACACTTTATGTTTGTCAATTAAAATTAACCCTACCAAACATATTTCACAGGATCATTAATGTACCCACGCTTTTAACATTTAACTGAGAAACATATCAAATTTCTTACACTTTACAATGCTATGATTTATCTATAACATCAAAGGCAACATCAATTTCTTGAGCAAATACGTCTGTGCTACTCTTACTTTTGTTTTCTTCGTTGCTGCGTTCCAAGGTCCTCTGTCTATGACTTAATGCAGACCTGTTAGAGTCTTGTGAGGTCTTGCTGTCCGAACTTTTGTTCCTTTTATGCGTTTTCACCTCGAATATAGTTGAATTATTGACATGGTACTCTACAGATCTCGACTTATCAGCTTGCTGGTAGTTCTGTAAAATAAAAACAGGTTACATATACATCATCATTGCCTTGCCTTTATCCTATTATTTGGGGTCGGCGCAGTATGTCATTCTCTTCCACTGATCTCTATCAATCGTCATATCTAAACATACTCTTCTTTTATTCATATCATCTTTCACACAATCCATCCATCTTTTCTTAGGGCGTCCCCTCCCTTTACATCCATCCACATTCATATTATACACTTTCCATAAGACATGGTCCTCATTCCTCCGCATAACATGCCCATACCAGCTCAATCTGTTACCTCGCAACTTTTCTATAACCGGCGCAACTTTCAAACTTCCTCGTATATACTCATTCCTTATTCTGTCATTCCTGGTAACCCCACACATCCATCTTAACATTCGCATTTCTGCCACATGCACACGCCTTTCGTCCATCCCTTTTACGGCCCAACATTCAGATCCATACAAAATGACAGGTCTTATGATAGATTTATAAATTTTACCCTTTAGTTTCAAGGGCATTCGGGGGTCGCATATCGTTCCCGAGACCTGTCGCCATTTCATCCATCCCGCACTAATTCTGTGCCTTACATCGCGGTCTATGTCGGCATTGTTCTGAATAACTGAACCGAGGTACCGAAAATCGGAGCAGACCGGAAGCATTACACCGTTTTGATAGATAGGCTTGAAACTGGAGAGACCGCCGAAATCGCAGAATAGGTATTCAGTTTTAGTTCTGCTGATCTTCAAGCCAACACTCTCTGCCATCTATCTAGTCTACTCTGGACCTCGATTCCATCCTCACCAACAAGCACAATATCGTCGGCAAACAGCATACACCAGGGTACCTCGTCCTGAATGTCCGATGTCAGAGCATCCATTACAATGAGGAAGAGGTAAGGGCTTAGAGCCGAACCCTGGTGTAAGCCTACCGCCACACTGAACTTATCGGAGGCACCTACCGCCGATCGAACGTATGTCTTAGACCGAATGTACATGGCACGTATCAGATCTACATACTTCCCTGGTACACCTTTCTTCTTTAGGGCCCACCACAAAACTAGACGGGGAATTCGGTCGTATGCCTTTTCGAGATCGACAAATACCATATGCAAATTTTTATTTACATTCCGGTATTTTTCGCACAGCTGGCGTAGTGCAAAAATGGCATCCGTGGTGCCTCGACCAGGCATAAAACCGAATTGATTTTGTGAAATATCACACTCCTCTCGCAAGCGTCTCTCTATCATTTTCTCCCACACTTTCATAGTATGTGACATAAGCTTTATTCCTCGATAATTGCTGCAGTCTTGAACATCACCCTTATTCTTGAAGATAGGCACCAATATGCTTTGGCACCATTCTTCAGGAATAGTTTCTTCATGCAACAACTTATTGAAGAATAAAGTGAGCCACTTACATCCATTTTCACCCAATAACTTCCATACTTCCACTGGTATTCCATCTGGTCCTACGGCTTTACTGCTTTTCATACTTCGCACAGCTTGTTTTACTTCTTCCATTCTTACTTCTCTGACTAAACCCACATTCACTCTTTCCTCTCCTATCGATTTATTCCATGAATTTTCTTCATTCATTAAGTTTTCAAAGTAATTTTTCCATCGATCTTTTATATCATCTTCTTTCATTAGAACCTTTCCTTTATCATCTTTTATACATTTTACATAGACTCCATCGTTTGTACTCTTATCTCTCATTTTTGCTAGTCGGAAGAGCTGCTTTTGGCCTTCGAAAGTATCTAATGAGGCGTAGAGTTTATCTTGGAATTCAGCTCTTACCGTTGCAACAGCTTTCTTTGCCCTCTTTTTGCATCCTAAATACACTTCCTTTTTTTCGTCTTTTGTATTATCATTCTCTTTACAGCTCTTTTGCCATTCTTTAAACGCTCTTTTCTTCTCTTTCAGTATTTGTTGCACACTTTCATTCCACCACCAAGTATCTTTCTCTATCATTTTCGTCCCTTTTGTTTCGCCAACAATATGTTTTGCTATACCTCTCATTCCATTCGCTATTACATTCCAACATTCGTTAACAGATTTTCCTTCCATATTATTCATTTCTATCATCATATCATTCACTTGTTCTCTAAATTTCATTGCATTCTCATAGTTCTCGAGCACATCTTATTTTTGGGGGCGGTCGGTTTTTGTTTTTATTATACTGAACCCTAATTTTTGTATCAAGTACTAGTAGTCTATGTTGTATATATGTCAATATTGCTATATCAATTGCCAACTGAGACCCTAAACAAAAGCTATGCACACGCCGAACGTCGTCGGGTGTCACGTGACTTTTCCGAACACTACGGAAGGTGTTACGAATCATGTCGGTCACTATAACTGACTGGATTTATTAAAAATAGGTTACAATAAGCGACAAACTCACTATATCCGTATATTTTTTATGAAAACCAAACTTCTCTATGTAATTGCTTCGTTTGCGTTTGATCAATACAGCCAGTCATTATAAACGGATTTTATTGTTTGTAAATGACTACTAACTGAACCTATCCTTAAGAGTTCTTATGTATGATAATGAATTAGTACCTACCTGCCTGCGCAAACGGTTTACACTGACAGGGCAACAGTGGAGGATGATAAGATGAGTATGAGGTCAGGTCGGTTAGCCCATCGTGATAAATTCACCACCAATTTATCATGTTGCTTTCTACGAGATACCATGGAGTTCAACCTGACATAATACATTGCTGACAAAGAGGCTATTAGTCCACATTACTAACAATGCCCATCTCCCTTATTCTTAAGAGTTTGCCGTGTGAATTCACACAAAGGTATACGTACGTACTGACGTAAACTTTGTATAAAGTCGTCTACTTAGGTATTTTTATCTCACTGATTTCAATCGCCAAGCAGCTTGCTTTATAAGCAGTGTTTCGGTTCGATGTATGATATCGTGAAATCATTTTCTTAAGAAACACTACACATTAATAACTAAATTTGAGATATAATCCGACTTGAAATGTCGACAGATATATAGACAAAATTTTAAACGTTTTTTTCCTGTAACGAAGTATATAATTTTGAACCTAGACGAATATAGTAATAAAACCTAATAATTCCTAATTAATTCTTTATTGCCGTCATCGTGCCCGTTGCTTCGTATTGCAATTTAGATAGGAACAGCTACAAAAGGCATTAGTTACAGATAATAATATACTCATTTGACAATTTGATAAATGTAATCAGTAGATAGGCAACAAATATAGCAAGTAATAGATGTAACTAATTTAGCACTTATGCTGACGTTATAGGTTTCATTATATTTTTTTATCTATACGTTATATAAAATATTTGACTATTATATAATCAGGTAGAGAGTGCATGGAACCATGAAAAAGTCAATGTCTATGTCAAGTCTGACTGAAATTAATTTTAGATAGATACTTGAATTCATTTATTTAATATAATGATAATGGAATGACTAACGGTATACGCTAGCTACTTCTATCACAATTATGTATATATTTAAATCTACAGTATTACACAGCTGTTTATTGTATACAGTAGCATAATCCGGATTAACTCCACTCCAGACTTTTAGATTTTTATCTTCTGTAAAAGATTGTATCTGAACATTTTATCATCAAAACGTAAAACTTCAACGCACTAATTAGTGCTTCATGGCTGAAGTAGATACGTTAATGATAATGATCATTCAGAACATCATTTCTAAGGTGCGTAGAGGGAAAGGGAATGTATATAATGAGAAAACCATGTAAGATCGAACGAGGTTCCCTCTGAAAACCATGGTAGTTAATTCCTGATGGAATCGCTATAATGCGGTAACTGGCCTCTGCTGGTGCCCCGTCAGTGTATACCGTTTGCGCAAGCGTGTGAACCATTCCATTATCTTTATCAATACATATATGGGAATTTATTTCCACACGCCAACGTAAGTGATCTCGGACAACGTTTTCAGAGAAACTTCCTCCTGCGTACACTTAAATAGTGGAATGAACCTACCTGCCGATGTTTTCTCTTGGGTTTTTTCAAGAAAGGTATATTAAGAGCCCTTAAGGGTCAGCAACGCTTACGTGACACCCTTGATGTTTCAGGCGTCTATCAAATGGGCTGTTCTAATGCTGTAGGCCGCAGCTGGCCTTTACAGCTTGACGTACTTACTGGAAGATAGGGTGCGAGTGCAGATAATACTACAACTTTCGCCTGATGGATACGGTTTTATGACTATCACTATGTATTTATGACGGCTCAAGCCGTCGTAATATCGAACCCCATTTGAATTGGACCGTTGATCAATCGAAGGGGGCATGGGTCGTGTACTTGATTGCCACCATCGTAATATAAAAAATAATAATATAACGGAGCTTATCTAGACGAGCCAGCCTACTAAGGCCTAATCTATTCTAATACAGACATATAATCGTTTTCACTACCGCAGCCATAAGATTAAACAGGACAGTAGGTGTTGTCTCGTTCTACAATAATGTTTCTACTGATAGGTATATTGGTTTACTACTTACTTGCTAGCAGGACATGTTTATATATAAAACTCACACAGCGCCATCTAAAGAGCTTGTACCTATAGAAATCATCAAAATTGCAAACAGTCAAACTCATAAATACAAATATTTGCATCTAACTACCAGAAGGTGAGGCAGTGTGCTAAAACACTGGATCACCTAGGTCATAAAATGTATAGATTTTAAATACAAAAATATATTGACGTGTACCTCTCCATAAAGCTCCATAGACAATGTGTGCCTTTTCTTATTATACTGCTTCATCCTTCCAGATCTCGATATAGAGTATGTTCTCCTTATGTCCTGAGGAGTACTATCCTCTGAAGGTGTCCCATCATACAAATCGCTCTTTTTTGTATCGCTTGTGTTAAATAATGATTTTATGAACTTCGCCATGTTTAAAAATTCCACTGAGTATTATTTATACTATGCGCATGTTAGTTCTGGAAACAATTGTAGGTATGTTAAATATATATAAGTTGAAGACTTAAGATAAGGGATGCTTTATTAACATAAAACCTTTACACCTAACATATACTTTAAACCTAAACCTTACAATCAACGAATTTGTACATCATATAATAGATTCTTCTTTACTCTTCTGATGACGTCACAATCTCTCTTGGAATTCATTAACTAAGCAAATTGCATCGAGTATTCAAGCGTTCTGTTTTAGTACTACTCTTACTTCTTATTTTGTCTTTATATTTAAGAATACCAAAAACGATTCCTGACATTTCCTAAAGCGAATTATCTCACCGAACTCGTCGCACAAAGGTTACCATTTGGATGTTTATTATTTTCTAAACTGGTAAAGAACCTTATTTTATCTGTTCAGAAATAATTAACGAAAATAAAGTAATTACAGAATTTGTGTAAAGTCCAATATGGATAAAAATTAGACAAAAGATTGCGAGATGAGAGACAAGGAAGAATGCGAAACAACCCGAATTACCTACTAGGCAACATAGGTATAAAAAATACCTGACGTAACCTAGATGTTTTAGTTTGATAAAGTAAGAGTAATCATGTTAATTATAACGTCAAAATAGACATACATTTAATATATAAAATTATATTTACTTATTTGTATTTTTCATTCAATTTCATAAAAGTATGATCTAAATTCAAATAGTTTTTTATGTATCATACCTCATAACTTTTTTCTATGTGAACCGATTTTGATAATTCTTTTATTATTTGAACCCTACTGTTTCTCGGATGATCTCATATAAATTTGATTAAGATCTATCTAGTAGTATTTTAGTTATCCTTAATAATAAGATTGATGTTAGTTTTTCCTGACCTAAACACGGTACTATTCCATAAAAAAATACTATAGCTTCGTATCAAGTCAATACTTACTGTTACACTTGGAAGATACTTAAGCACTTATTAAACTAAGCATAATTTAAACCAACTGGGTCGAATAATCCACTTGAAAACTGATTAAAAAAACCAAAGCACTGCTTACCAATGTGAAACCACTGAATTGCTCCCAACGTTGATAACGTTGTTTAGAATGCAGACTTTTTGCTCAATGATAACACGGTCGAAATAAACCACGCCTAAACACAGACTGCATTGTGTGGCAAGTCTTAATATTTACCATAATTTCATCTTGCGTGATAAGATAATATACCGATATTGTTATTATCGTCGATACCCTTTTATGATAATGAATTAGTGTTATCAAGTTAATTACTGTTAACTATAGTTTTGCGATGTTATTTATATGTATATTTTTAATTTACTAATTGTTCTTTTGGAGATCTCTATATAGGAACCGAGTTAAAAAAGAACCCTATAAAAATACATTTTTACAGATCTCTTGTCTTAACTATTGATTTATAGGATATACCTAATCATAAAAATAGAAAATTACTAAAATACCATCCCTCTATAATATTATATTAATCATTATATTAATATCTACGTTAAAAATCTTTGTACCCATTTTTACAAAATTGCGCTGACGAATGAATATGCAGTTCGCGCAGTTACATATAGTTTAGGTAGGTATATAAAGAAGTGCAGAATGTATAAATATTTACTTTAATACGATAATATGTAATTTTAAACATATGCATAAAAATACTTTAAATCAATAAAAAAAATTACACACACTGCTGTATTTGGCAGAATTGACTCGGAGTGCATACTACCAGCACACAGCCATTAAGATTTATTTTATTCTATTCTATTTTATGTAAAATCGACTTTGATTTCCTTACACACCAGGCGATCTAGGAAGTTATCCATCACTGCTCCGATATTGTCTATGATATTTTGTGTCGTTTAAATTACAGAGATAACATAAACAGCCAAATTGTATACTGAAGACATCTACGGAACCCTTAAATTTTGTTCGTCACGTACTTGGCGATCTTTAATTCTAAATTGTTTTAATGTGTTCACTACAATCTGTGATTTATATATTTGAAACCATAAGGATATCTTAATTGTACCTAAAAAGACAGCACAACTATTATCTATATATAGATTGTATTATTTAAAGTATATGTAATAGTATTAATTATACCTATAATATATTTTGTCTTATTAGGAAAAAATAAAGTTATAATCTCAATAAGGCAGTTTAATCCTTATTATTATCATTGAAATTAATATAGACATGGGAGAACTTTGAAGTTTAAGAAAGTAGGTAGGTATATCCTTTGCTATCAAACACATACAAAATTTTATTCTTCAGCCGGCCTTTGCAGTGATTCTACATGCCCTTATTTCGCATGTTTATACCATATGTGGCAAAGGGAAAACACCGCCGCCTCTCGTGTTAATTTTGTTTATCAAATCTAAACATTGCAAGTTATAAAGTTAGCTAGTAGAAAATGCCATATGGCATTAAACTTGCCTTTTGTACTTTTTATTGTGCAATAAAAAATAAAAATAAACAAAAACTACACCTATTTTAATATCACTGAAATAGCAAACAGGCTTCCAACCTAGGTACTTAATGAAAAGCGAGAACTGTCACCTCTATAGGAGTATAAGACTCTGACAACCGAGTTACACATGTTACTACCCAATGAAGCTCTGTCATAACATTAGATTGTTTTTCTAACATTCGCACTATTTAATCATAGTTAAATTAATTAAACCTATCTATAATTTATCGTGGCAGTAATACTGTAAGACTGATAAGACAATAGAGCTCTAATTAACACGTGGTTATCTCTGGTTACCGTGTAACAAGACCCAGCACACAACACCCGTTCAGACAGAGTAGTAAACCAGGTGGAAAATATTGACACAATTTGGCGATGTATCAGATATATGTACTGCATATAATATATCTGGTAAAAATAAATATAATAAATAAAATGTGTAAAAAAATATATGTAGTGTGAGCTTTTAATGTGACAAGTATGGCAAACAAAATGAGGAACTCTGATTAGATTTTTTTAATGGATTGTTATGGAATGATGGACCAGTTTGCGCTAACAGTTTAAGATGCGGAGGATGACAAGATGAACATCAGGTCTAGTTAATGATCTGCCCATCGTGAGAAATTCACCAATTTAACATGATGGTATTCAATTATCATCTATAATGATTAGTAAATATATTAGTATAGAAAGCATTAAAAAATTGTTCCTCATTTATGTTATTATTATTCTACTATGCTAGACTTCAACATAATAGGTTATGGAAAAACATATTCAGGAAAACAAGGGACTCATTTGGGATTTGAATAAAAAGCAGTAATGAGACTCGATAGAAAATATTTATAATCACTATTTTAAAATTGTACACGATAGACAAAACAAACAAGCATAGTTTTATACAAACGCGACCATCGTATTATTTACTATCTAGCTAGATATCAATGGACTAGCAAAAACTAAAAACTCGTCATCACTTGAGCATAGTTAATTATGCGCACAAAAATATTAATACATACGCTAATTGTACTAAAAACAATGTTTGCAATTTTCATTATACAATATGTAATCAACGTGCTTAGCTAACAAAATAAAGGCCTTATGTAGGTTCACAAAATATTAATATCGTTGACGTTGACTGAAATATAAAATTTTAAATTACTCTTAATAATTTTGTAATGAAGACGCCTATGGTATGGTATGCTAGACGCTTTATGGTAAGAGGATTTTTTGATGTAGTAATCTAGCTATAATATCTATGTAGTGGTATACATATCTATAGTATATATATTGATATTTTATTTTAAATATCAATATTATATCAATTACATAACAATAATTACTAAATTTACATATTCAATACGGTTTAACCAAATATATATTTCAGTTTAATGTTTAATATAGTTGCGCTGATCTTTGTAATAAGAGTTTCATGATTACACCTATTTCAAAATGAATAGAATCGAATTACATAAAAAAAATATTACACAATGGCAAGATGTAATTAGAAATATATTCTAAAGCTATGTTTACAATATTTTACAAAGAACAGATTTACAATGCCACAATTTGTTTAAACTGTTACTTTATGTTTTGTGCAAATTTCGACAATGAAAATCCTTAGTGCATTTCGTCATACAACCTACTGAATCTGATCTGATAAATGATAAAAAATTCAATTCAACCAATCAATCAATACAATACATACATAAAGTGCAGAGTAAATAAAAAAAACTTAGCTAATGGAATAAAGATCGTAACAATATTTTAACTATCTATACATTAGTACATTTATAATTTTTTTACAGTTTAGCGGTCCGACACAGCTCCGTATGTACATAACTAATGAAAGATTTGGAAGGAATTATGTAAATCTACCTACTGCTGAAAGTAATTTAAGATTTTCTAATAATAGGCCTTATCTAATTTAACACCAGACGTTATGGTACCCTGGATGGTCATACTAAAGATGAATTTTCACAGACATACAAATGTCCTGTCGTCTTAGAAAACGAAGGGGTTTATTAGACCTACAATGGGTAATTAGTGTCAGCAGCAGTTTTCTAAGTAAGAATGTAAGAAGAACGGCCCATTATATATTAAGCCAAACGTATACTGGCGTGTATTTGCTGTCTATGGTCTGCCCATGAGATTTGATACACGCTTGATCTACATGTAGCTATGCGTAAATTCAAGTTTAATAAAAAAGATTTTTTTAGGTGAATATTTAATAATTGTATTGTAAACATTCATAGCCCAATCTTCTTACTAACTACTTAACTTCATAGTAACTGCTAGCGACTTCATTCTCTCCCATTTCTTAATGTCGTAGTAACAATATTTATAGTCTTTTATATCACTATGAATTTAATCCTCATTTATAAGTCTTTAATACATCTTATTTCTCTAGATACCTATATTTTTTTTATATTCAAAATGTTCTTTTATAATTACATAGTAATATGTCATAATCATAGCGTATATAGTATTTTAAGTTCAGCGATTGATAAACTTGAATGAAAAATGTTTAATTAGGTTTAAAAAGACCTTTTGTATCATATTAAATTAATACGCTACACTATGCTTTTAAACACCTTATTCTGTCTTCTCACTTGAAGGCACCATTTTTAACATCAGTCTAAGAGAAATACAAATGGAAAATAGCTCTTGGCATTATTATAGCATATATTTGTATTCATTGATACATATGAGTTGATTCTGCGTAGGCGTAGCCAGCCATGGGCTCAGGGAGCAGCAGTCAGTTACATTATGTAACTAGCAAAATTATTTTTCTCATAGAAAACGGTTACACCTATAGCAACCTGTATCTATATGTTATATTTTTGTATAAACTGTCGAATATGAACTTTCTTACGGATATTAGGTACTACGGTACCTTCTACCTTAGTACTTAGGTAATTATTTATTTTCATTTTGTTAAGTAGTTTACAGGTCAACGCCAGTCCCACCCTGCCCCACCGTGGCTACGCCCATAGTTCCTACAATACTATATTTTTATTTTTATGTAAATAATGTAAAATATTGAATTTTATATCATCAAGTTAAAGAAAATCAAATTATACAAATGATGTTCGTGATATCTTTGCTGCCAATTCTGACTTAGCGAATAGGTTTACCTCCTTTTTCAGTCCCATACTAATTTAATATACCTACATCATTTATTTATACATTATAAATTTAGAAATAAACCTAAGTTATAAAATTAGATAATTATTTAAATATTTATATAGTACCCGATTGGAAAACAATGTCGCTCACTCTACATTGTATTAGAAACGTTTTGCTATCAGCTATAAATTATATAGCGGATAGTGAAAAAGGTTTCATATTAAAGTTCAATAAGCAACTACAATATCTCGGGATATCTATAACACTGGCAATGGACAAATCTCATTTCCCATAAATAAATTATATATTTACATTGTATAACTTTTTTTCTTTATATCATTTCACTTTTTAAACATTCGTTAGTAATATATGTCGTTGGCTAGTTATAACAAAGTAAGTAAATAGTGCATTTAAATTATTTGTTTTGTCATATTTACACAATAATACGTCCTCTCAATTACCTAAAGGATATACGATTACAGTTTGCTAGCGAAATAATTACGTTTTCTATCTATAGAAAAAATATTGTTTATTACTACTGAAATTGAATACCATCAACCAATATTTGGCAGTACTTTGATATGTCACATGTTACGAGGCAAAGTAGCCATTGGAAATTCAAATATTTCGATTTATTTCAACTTTTAGAGTATTTTTATATTCTGTCTTCCCAAATAGTTATATACTAAATACATATATAATATAATAGCGGCCATTCTGATTAAACATTCGTAATAACCTGTCCATCCGGAGTACTTTCAAATAGTGAAAGGATCTTCTCCGAATTTTTTTCAATTGTATATATGTAATATTTTTTTTTATATCTGACTATTTTTATATAAAAATTACATTTATTTATAGAAAGTAATGCCAGCAATACTACTGTCATGGAAGTAGTGAGCAAAAGCTATTTTACATTACGTGTACACATTCATATTCATTGTATAAACAATCAAAGTGTAGGATGAAGTGCCCAAATTACGTATGTCTTGATATTGACAAATTATATAAAAGTACTGAGTTCCACATTTATTTAAAACTTCTTTGAGCATCTTCGTTTCCAATATATTTCATACTCGGCTACGACTAGTCTCAATAATGTAATTACAATCATCCCAAAAGGAAAAAAAAAATCTCTACACGACTGCGTAGAAAAAAAAACAATTACATGGTATATAAAAATGTTCGAATATAATATAACATTACAAAATCAATCAATCAATTGTAAAAAAATATTGAACCCGAAATGTGTGAAATATCGAATCATATATGCACTGATCAATCGACAGCCGTTAACTGGGTACTTTACCCTACTTAAGATAATTGGAACAAACCATACGTACGCTATTATGTACTACAATTTATACCATTTTATACAACCTGTTCGGAGTCGTCCCTTGTGCTCGACATCGCGTCAGTGCTTGTTGTGTTACTCCTATACAACTTCAAGTTAGACTCTGTATAGTCTAGAATCTTCCTACTGGAATGTCTTATGTACAACATTTGTTTGTGATATATTTTCAATGCACCTTTGATGGTTATGTATGTGAGACCGCCGAGTATGGTCCTGTGCAAGTTATTTTGTATAGATCGGAAAAATATTTTGCCTATGATTGTAGAAATCGTGGGTAGCAGGAGCGCTGAGCAGAATATCCTAGTGGGAGATAGGTGTGAGCTGGCGCTTGGATACTGGTTGTTGTTTGGATTTGTCACTACGGCACCTCTGTCGCCTTCCACGCTGAAATTTGAAAAAAAAATTTAACGACATGTCTAGTCTACCTATGGTTCTAAGGAACAGTTTGCAAAATAAAAGCACATATGAAAGTAGTGATGTATTACGTCTAAAAAGAAAATTACTACTGTAGATCTATGCAGGTCGCAGTGTTATAGGTTAGTTTGGCACCTGACAATTAGACAAGTATACCCGTAATGCAGATAGTATTTGTAACCAATCACAATTCTGGTAAGACAGTTATTCTTGTAGTTAGACACTGTGACATTTTTACATGTTGTCTACATTTATTTCAAAAGCAGGTTTTATTCAGTTACTAGCTACTCGTCCCCGCTTCGCCCGGGTGTACGTGTATTATACATATAAGCCTTCCTATTGAATCACTCTATCTATTAAAAATAGCGCTTCCAAATCCGTTTCGTAGTTTTAAAGATTTAAGCATACACAGGACAGACAGCGACAGCGACTTTGTTTTATACTATCTAATGAAGAAGATAATAAACTTACTTTCCAAAAGGTAATATGTAAGAAAGCGCGGGTATTTTAGCACAGTACTTTCTAAGGAATAGGAGTACAGAGTCCTCCCAATTATACATTTTCGCGCTGATCAGCGTCACCGGTATGGTAGGTAATAGGACTAGTAGCACCAAGGGGTCAGCAGACTCCATCATCTCGAGACCCTCTCTGTGACCGACCACCTGGAACATAAATAAATAAAGAATCAGTAAGTATAAATGTATTTAAAATGGCATTACTCCTGCGAACGATACATGACGACCTCGGTGGTCTAGCGGTCTAGCACACCGCTTTACGACCGATGGTCGCGGGTTCGATTCCTCGCAGGGCACAAACATTTGTATTCATGAGTATGATTGTTTGTATCGGTCTGGGTGTTTTCTACGTATAATATGTATGTATTTACAAAAAAAATCTATATATATGTATCAGTTATCTAGTACTCATAACACAAGCTTTAGCTAGCTTAACTTGGGTCTAGATGGCGCTGTGTGAATTGTCCTGAGATTATTATTATTATTATAAACGAACGATCTATAACCCTGTTTGTGTACAAACTCACAAGCTTAGAAAGCAAGCTGCTTAGCGGCTGAAACAGGTGAGAATGTGGTACCCATGCAGAAAACTGTTTGTTTACAAAACGTCCGTTTTGTGCAACATTTTTGCAGTACGCCATAACACAGGTATATATGTTTATAACGTAATTTTATTTATCCTCGTCCTCGTAGACTAGCCCGTACCAATTTCCCTCCGTATAAATTTGACAGAGAATATAATTGTATCCCTTCCTATATATATCTAATAGTTGAAGACGATCCCATTATTACTATACGACATTGCACGCTTAATATTAAACTGCAATAAGTCCAAGAAGGGAAATTATAAAAAAAAATTATGCATTCTAACATTAAAGTTGTATTTGCCAAAAATTTTGTTTTCCAGTTAATGCATTTTAAAATTAAGAGTGCGATATTATGTCGTGTGCCATATGTGACGTACATATGTCAATAATTTCTCTAACACTAATGTTGAAACGGTAAATATTATTACAATTGCAAATTAAAGCTACTGTTGTCATATTTGTCGTTCAAATATTATTTTACTACTTGTAACAGTTGAAGAATCTGGCCACTACTAGTAGTTGTATGTAAAGCTTAAGGAAAATAAATATTTTTCATTCATGCCGTGCCGTAGCCGTAAAACACTATATATTTTATAAAACAAAGTCTATCGCAGCGTATGTATGTATGTTCCGATAATCTCTAAAACTACTTAACGGAATTTCATGCAGTTTTCATTTATCAACAGAATATTTCAAGCTATACATATTATACAGCCGCGTCTCTATGTACGTATCCGAAATTGTCAAAAACTACTGAGCTGAACAAACACACTATTTCTTAAAACATACAACACAACTAACGGTTCCTTGTATCTTTTTTGTGGATACAATATAGACAAAAATAAGCAAATAAATATTTGAAGACTATTTAATATTCTCAGCTATAGACAACCGTGAACGATAGACGACAGTGAAAGTGACGTTAATGAGTTACCTGCCGAGTCTATTATGTAAATTAAACATATGAGCGCTTATGCAATACAATGCTTTTGGCGAACAAATAATAAATGCTGCCTATGTACCTATATGTAATCTTTATAGATAGATTTATACGTATGTAAATCTATACATATAAATAAAATTGGAGTGTCTGGTTTTAAATATTGAAATTTTTTACTACTTGCACATATAAAAACTTTACTTCCAACAATAGCGAGTTCAATTCCTCGCATGGTACAAACATTTGTATTCATGTTTGTTTGTATTGGCCTGGGTGATTGCAATGTATATTATGAATCTATTTATAAAAAAAATGTATCTGTATATTTATATCAGGTAATTCGCCACAATTAGTTTACTGATCTTATCTTATTCTATCGTTTTCCAATGGTAGCCAAGCATATATCGTTAGCACAAGTAGGAAGAACATTCCATTATCATTCTTAAAAAAAATTAACGTGAAATACGCGTTAGCAGTGTAAAAATCATTGTAAGGCTATTTTTTATAAACAAAGGAGCACAGTAAGCAGCTGATAAAGTCTTATCAGGCCATTGATTCTTGAGATGGCAAACTTTGTTATTTTTATGTTCGTTTATTACAATATATATAACAAAGAAAGTAAAGTATATTACGAATTAGTCATCAACTGTTTTATTTTTCTTGTATATATCAAACTTTTTATGTCCAGTATTTTTCCCTTGAAGGTGGTTATTCCAAAACAACCTATATAGGTTGTTTTGGAATTATTAGAAATTTATTAGGGATTTATTAGGGATGATAATGGAATGGTACTCTCCCCTGCGCTAACAGCATACGCTGGCGTGGCACCAATAAAGGATAATAAGATGAGTATGAGGTCAAGTTAGTTAGCCCATTGTGGCAAATTCATCTGGAATTTAACATGAGGTATCACGTGGAGATCAACCTGATGTGGCACATTGCTAGCAATGGGGTTATTAATTAATCCACATTACTAACAATCTCCTTCCCACCTAATCTTTCCATATAAGATTTTTGGACGAATCTTTGTTGAGAAAAACATAGAATTTAATGAAACAAATTAAAAATGTTACTAACGCCTTTCAGTGGATGGAAAATTACAGATAACAATGTTAACACCCTTCATGAATTTCCACATGTGAAGACTTAAGTGTTAATTGAACTGTTGTACTTATCGAGTGAGTGATCGCAACATTGACTTTATTGCTCTTCAAACCGAAACAACGTACACAATGTTGCTTCACAGCACCTACAGGACGGAGAAAACTCACATGCTACTTTGGCCAAGTGAATATTTTTTAAGTAAACAACTTGTAAAAAAATGCAAATAATGAATCACGTATCTATGACAGATGGATTAAGGTAATCACAACCTAAACAAACTATCACAATGTTATCACACTGACGTGTGCATTGGGGAATATCCAATGTGTTAATAACCGAAATGTAGGTGCAAATGTTCGGCAATAAGGCTTCAATATAAATAGATAAATTCTTACAGGACAAACCATAATCTTTTGGTATAAATTCTTACACAATTTTGTCTTGTCAACTCTTTCCTCCTCGCTCAGAAGACTCGCTAAGTTCTGTCTAACTTATTTTAAGCACAGCTCAGGTGTACTAGAGAAGCCATCATCATCATTTCAATTTTTTGCTCTAAGCACAGCAATTGCGGTTTTTTTGTGTGCGCAGTTAGATATAATTCAAGGTACTTATCGCAACTTATTCTGAGTTCACAAATAAAATAATAGATCTGTATCATAAACTATCGCCAGTCTCGATCGATTATCGTTATCTTATAAGTTGCGTCTAGTCTTTTTCTCTGGAAAAACTCAAAAAAAATCTCACATCAATAAAATTCAAAGATAGACCTGCCTAACCAACCGATCCATCGCGGTAATATATCTTATAGTACCAGTTCTCATCAATTAATTATTAATGGGTTATAATTAATATAATTAAATAGTCGTAAGTTGACACTGAGACCCAATCGTTTAACCGTGTTAGTAACCTCTTATCTAGCACATTGGTCAGTCGCCAGTTGTTCACTGTTTACGCATACAATATGTTTAACAGTAATTGTACTTACTGCCGGTTCGTGACCAGTCAAATGTTCGCAAACACCGCAAATACAGAATACGAATCTGCCGTTATCTGTGACCTGGGGTGTCCTGATGACACATAAAGATGACGATGTGCTAATTACTCGATAAACACCTAAGCATAACAATATGATGAAATATACAGTTGAAATCTGTCTCTATAAATAAACTTGCCCTGACTGTCTGATGTACCTACCAAACAGCAGCCTAAATCACTACAACGAAAACATTATTTTCGTTTTTTGAATTACCATGGGAATATATGAGATCACGTTGATAATTTGAAGTACCGGTCTAATAATATAGTAAATAACGAAGAATAGTAAGAAATCGAAAGACGATTTACCAATTGCGAAATTTTCTAGAATCACGTATTACGCTATTCTACTTTCGCGAAACTTACGCTAAGAGAGCTATAAGAATAATTCAACTTAGTACTGCCTGGCTGAAGTTAATTAGTATAGGGTTTTATTTCAAGTTTCTTCTCTTGCACCAATATATTTTGTGTTTTGTACGCCAGTTTTACGAGGTTCAGAAGGATTAAAAAGGTTGAAAAAAAAAGAATACACATTGTATTCTTCTTTGTGTAAGCACTATTTACTTCAATTTTGGTATTTAATCTGAATGAAATTAATCTAAAAGAAAATAGACAAATTGGTGACCACATAGCCTAAAGTTAGAAAATAGGCTACACCTATCGTCAATGTTAGGCCACACAGAATCTGCTCACAAATTGTTTTTCGTCTGCTATGAAGATAAAGTGGGAGATTTACTCCATAAAGTCAGGAAGTGTCTCGAATGGGCCCATCGAAGGTAAAATTACTATATACTCTACTTTATATCATCTAATCTATACAACAAATGAAACTGACCTGCATGACAGTGACCGCTCCGTATGTAATTGTGATCCAATAAAATATATAAAACCAAATAGTACTCCGCCTGTTATGAAGGGGCGAGTATTGCGAGAGATCTTCTACATAGCATCAGGAAGTGTCTCGAATGGGTAAAATTATTACGTCGTATAAAAAAATTTACTCTACTTTATATAATTTGATCTATACGACAAATAAAACTGACCTGCATAACAGTGACCGCTCCGTACGTAATCGCAATCCAATATATAGAACCGAGAAGCACCCCGCCCGCTATGAAGGGACAGATCTTGTGGGTGATCTCCTCCATAGCATCGAGTAGTGCCACAAACGCGCCCATTGATGGAAACACTACTATATATTCTGCTTTACACTGTGGACACAGAACTTTGCGTGTTATGTTGCCTCGCTGTTTTTCATCCACCCACCGTTGGAGACAGCTCTGGTGCACCTGGAACAAGGAATGAGTTTAGTTTTTATTATAAAACTGGTTAACCAGTTTATGAACACTGAAGTTACATTGATTCCTGGTTCTATGAATTTGAAAAAATAAATCCGTAAGTGATATCAGAATTAAATATAATCTGCATAAGTTTTTGTAGGTAGAAATAGTTATAATTATAACATTGATAAAATCAAGACCAGTCAAAAGACCCACTAAACTTAAAGGTCACATGAAATTTATTAATAACATAACAATAGGACGTATTAAGTGTTTGTAGACTATACAAACTCATGACTAATCAATTTTTAACCTTATCATTACATAAAGCTGTCCTAATATTTGTAAATGAAATACTTTCATCCAATAGACGTCTTTATATTTTTTTGTGGATAAAAATTTTATATAATTTGATTTATCTATTTTATATTTCTTCCATTTACTACGAACTGCGAATACATTATACGAAACGACTTCCAACTGCAGCTATTATGTCTACAGGTTTAGTGTGAAGTGTCTTAAACACGCTCTGCTCTTCATTTGCCTATACACAGCGCCGCTACTTGAAAATATCTCTTCGCTAGCGTTTCCAGTTAATCATAAATAATAATAATAATCACAACGATTCACGACAATTCACACAGCGCCATAGATCCAAGTTAAGCTAGTTAAAGCTTGTGTATACTAGATAACTGATACATATATACATAGATATATTTTTTTTGTAAATACATACTTATTATCCGTACTTAAAGTACGGATTAATCACACACTTGTTTACAATAATATTTGCAATGGTTTTAACGTTTTGTTATAGATTTCAGGTAAAATAGAATTGATAACAACAGCCACATTACGAATGGCGTCAACAATGATTTTGTTACTTGAATATATAATTGTTATACCTACATATTTCACTCGATTTATATCATTTACAATTTACACAGATTGTGTAAATCAGCGTGACATTGACATTGTCACTCAGTCCAAAAATCAATGAAGTTGACATCTCAATGTCATATATACATGGTGTTTAGTCTTTAGCATACATTACCATAATTGTATTAATATAATATTCTTTTCATAAAATAAAATTGTAAAAAGGCGAAAGCTGTCTATCTGTGTGTTATAGTTTCCCGTAAAAATGGCTGGAGGAAATAGAATGAAATATTCACAGAACATGTTGTTACACTTATGAACTGAATACAGCTGGGAAAAATATCCTAATCTCTGAAACAGTTGGATGGAGTGACATGGGGTACTATTATTTTAGAAACAATATTTAATTTATAAAAAATAGTTTAATTCTACGCAGACGACGTCGCGGGTATCAGCTATTGAAAGTAAAAGTAAGACAACGAAATTTGCGATTACTAAATCCATATTAAGATGAGAACGAGAGGGAATTGTTAGTATGGGCATTTGTTAGTAGTTGTCCCGTTGCAAACAATACCACATCAGGCCAACCTCTACACGGTATCCATTGAAAAAAAACATGACTAATGGTGATTAGCTATCATGGGCAAACTGAAATAACTTCATGCTCATAATAAGGTGATAGGATCCTCCACTGTTGCCCCGCCAAGATATATAACAGGCGGGGGCACCATTCCATGTTCATCCAGTAAATAAAAACTTTAATTATAAACTTACCGCGTTATTAGTATATTCTTGTGCGATAGTTAGCTACTTATACAATAATGACTATTTTAAATTAGTGTTGATAAGTCTACATCGTTATCTAGGTATTACCTTTCCGATAATGACCAGAGTCAAAACAAGTAGGACATATCTAACTACTGGCATGTTTCTCGATTGTTCTGAACTTCGTTCGACTACTTTATATTTCTGTATAGTCACCCTTATGCATTGAGTATTTATATATAGCTGCAAGCACCTTTAACGGTATCATCACACGCCGATGGTTCCGTACTTAAGTAATTTAAATATTCTTTTTTATTTATCTGAAGAAATGAGGTTATGGTGCTTTTTTGTATAAAATATAAACTACTACCCTTATTGCAGTTATAATACCTCAGGTTATTTCAATAGTTAAAAAGCAAACCACAAAACTATGTTTATTTGTTAATGATTTCTGTAGATGTGCAGAATTAGAAACAAACATTGTTTATTCTTTCTGGAATTAATTTAAAAATAAACAATGTTTAAATGATTGTATAAATTGTGTTTTCAAAAATCCATTAATCGTATTTTTATACGATATATTTAAAAAATCCTTACAGTCTACTCAACTCATACGTTACTTATTGTTATGTCAGTCATACTCAATGCAACTAATTTTAAACTCGTGTATGTACGTACTGTATTAATAATACGCGTTATCTTCGCAAATGTGAACCAATTTTCATAATTCTATTGTAATCTATACACTTCCGGGTTCACTTTCCTTATCATTTGCGTCCTAATGAAAGGTTTTTTAAAAATATTTTTTATTTTAAACATTGAAACTTAATATTATAAACGCGAAAATTTCTAAGTATGGATGTTGTTACTCTTTCACGCAGAAACTACTGAACGGATTTTGCTGAATCTTGACAGTAATATAGCTTATGCATCATCAGTATAATATGTGTTATTCTGATGACATTTATATTATTTATGAATTTTATATTGAAATTTAACGCGAGCAAAACCGCGGGCACAGCTAGTAATAACATAAAATTATGTACCTGTTGAGTTTCTTGTCAGTTCTTCTCAATTGAATTAGGTAGCGAAACTGGACGATAGTGTTTGTGATAAAAAAAAATATGAAGTCCACTAGAGGCCGAAAGGTCATATGTTAATAAATAATTTTGAGTGTGAGTTCAAACCAAGCACTTTAAAAAATATAAGTTTCTCAGTATTTTAATGACAATTATATGGGATATTCGAGTACAGAACAGCTTTAGTTCATATTTTCAGCAATGTTTAAAGGTTTTGGGACTTACTTCCGTGTATATCATATACTACTGTTCCCAATACTGAAAACGACAAAGAATCAAGCAAACAATTTAACTCTGATGTAAGTATCGGGCAACAATAAAAATACCGTCAAATTAAATCGCAGACGATTGAAAAAAGGAGTAGTAAAGTAAAAGTAAAGGTATAAGATCAGTTCTATCAAAAATAATTCATCAAAATCCGCTTATGACTGAAACACCACACATCTAAATACACACAATATAAAGACACGAGTTAGCACATGTGTTTGTGTTAGAAACATGTGTATACTTTAAACATAATGCATAATAGTACATTTAACAGATACATTAAACAGTCAAGATAAAAGCACTAATACAGTAAAATGTTATCTGTAGTTCAAGCTATACTATATGTGGTGTCAATATAATTGCAAACAAACTGGAAAGTCTACAATATAATTATAACTATTTCTATTATACATTATCCAGACTCTCTTAGCGTGAGGATTATATAAAAAAATATATTAGATATGATAAAACTTAAGAATAAAAAGTTTGAAAAGGCAATAATTTCAATAACTCATATAATTTTACTAATCACACTCATTCATAATTCACCTCCTTGGTGGGGTGCTATAAAATCAATATTACATAAAGTAGTTTAAGTACAAGTGGTCTACATTATTAATAAATAAATATTTACCTCACACAAACAGAAGTTAGCTAGTTTATTGGTTATAAAAAATGTTTTTACTTCTTGTTCATTAAAAAGATAAAGACTTATCAAAAGAAGTTTTATCTGAAATTATAGATAATGTATTTTAATGTAAATAATGTATAGGCAATTTAAAGTTGTCATGAGGTAATAGGATATATTGATTAAGAAATATATATTATATAATAAGAAATATAAGATTTTTCAAAGATTACACTTTCTACCATGATCATACTTAACTATAAATTCAATATAGTCACAGAATTTTTTCATGAATATTGAGGTAAAGTAAATAGACAATAGAACCCTTTTTAAAATTCATATCAGTTTATGGTAACTAATATTTGGTTAAGTGAATTTTCATGGAATTAATAATTTAGGACAAGCTTGAAAACCGATATACTTTATCTGAATTATTCAAACAACTTAAGAAATATAGTTTAACCATATATTACATATAAGTAAACTGACTAACTAGTCAAAACGTGAAAGTAACTTATATATGAATCTACAATTTTTTTTACTGAAACAGTAATTTTTATATATACACCCTATGTAACTAAAAAAAAGCCTAAGGTCTCTATCTAATACTTAAAATAGGAACAGGCATTGAATGGTTACAAATTGACAGAACTGTGATAACAGGTAATCAGACACTACAAATATTGAGATATATTTTTTTATTTTACATGAGACTATAGTCTCAAGAGAAAATGGTGAAAAGGCATTGTTTTAATAAATATTACCCATAAATAGAATCCATTCCTAAAGTGTTTATAGTAAACAAACAATAATAGGAAAATTAAAAAAATATATTCAATTATTAATAGTAAAATAATATTTAACTGCACAATATTCAATATTCTAAACAGTTAAAAAAGATCTAATTGACTATATATTCATATAAATAAACTTTCGTTTGATTATAAAAAGTGGACCTACCATTTACACCTGACATTTAAAAACTATTATATACCCAGACTACTTGACTACTTAACAAAAATCAAGAATAATGTATTTATATTTTGTCATTAAAAGATACTAAGGAGAAAGTGTCATTACTTAAACTTACCCATTTTGTAGTGCCAATACATTTGCACGGTTGCACCCAAGCTGCAAGTCTGTCATCAGCTTCAGTGGCAAAACACACCCAACACGACTTCGCGTTTTCATCATCAGCCGGCTGTAGAGCCTGCGAACTCCCCATAGTGGATTCTTGTTGTCCAGATACTTTCTCACTTGACATGACAAACTGCGTCGCCACGAAATACAAGTCCGCCCGCTCAGACAAATGCACAAACAATTACTATACGATAAATAAATTATATATGGCAATCCAGGCATATACTGTGTTAAGAAAATAACTGTTATTATTATTATAAAGAAAGTTTTACGTGGAATCTCGTTGGGGTACGAAATGTAAAAATAATTAAACCACAAACAAAATAGACTTAACAGACGATACTACTATCTGGCACTCTGACTGACTGACTGACATCAGAACCAAACCAAACGTAAAATCGTTATGCTATTGAATTACTCTGTACAATTCTGACAGTAATGTCAAAATAATGAATGATGTTTGACAGAACAAAATACCTTAGAGATGACAGCTAGTTACACTTTACTCGATATCGATATTTGTTACAAGGGAAGAAAGACACTAGAGTATATTGCTACTAAATGCAATATTACTAATAAACACTACTTGGTAACATTAACTGATATATCACATTGTTTTCATAAAATTACAGTTATAATATTAATGTGATCTTATTAGTATTTCACTACTGGGATTGGAATGAAATATTTACGATAACTTATTTCTCATGGGAAAATATTCATATGTGATAACAACATTTTAAATAAAATTATTAACTAAATTTAATAAATTCTGGAATATTTATTACATAATAAATATGCCAGAATTTATTAAATTTAGTTTTAAACCATTGATATTTAATAATTATGCACCTAGCATATGATAGAACGTCTGATGCTTTGCTCAAGTTTTTATTTTATGTAAGATTCTATATTATTCTACTACTTTCAACAGCGATATCAATGATTCCCATCCAATATAAGTGGAGTCGATATTATAATCCATCGGCGAGAAATTAGACTTCAGCCTCTCCATAGGTCCTTCCTTAGCGACATATCCTTCGGCCAAAGGTAAACTGCGCATACAGCATTAGGATAGCTCGAAAAAAATAATAGTCCTCATTATTTAACATAATTGGCGGTATCCAATGATTATTCAGTGACAGTCAGTGACCGACAGAGAAATACGTATCACAAAATATTATAATGTAAAAATATTTTTTGTAAGTTTGGTGAAACATAATGATAACTATCAAGCAAGTACAGAGTTTGTTATTTTTAATATGACAATCATGAACCACAATTTCAGAGCTTGGTTTCTGTTGTAATTATTATTTGTGTAAAAAGCATGTTTTTATTTTACTGTGTCGCTTATTTTAAAGTCTGTTAATAATCACTCACGAGTCTCACAGTAAGCGCGAATCTATGTGCACGTATTATAATTATTTTATTTAATATCATAATTGCTCAGCGCGGCAAAGCCGTGCTAGTCGAAGTTCCAGTCATGTGTGACAAACTTGTGGGCCAACGAACCCCTTGCATTCCTGCAGCAGAAGCTGGACGTAATGGACGAATTAAGTGTAGTCCAGATTTGTGTGTCCAACGAGAGCGAGCTTCGAGAGAGAGAGAGCGAAGGCTCTGCTCTTCGAGTCCCTAAATAAAACTGATCAGATAGTGTCTCGTAGACGTAACGAGACACAAAAAAGCGTACAGGATATTATAACGCTGCTGAAGGAGACCGATCCAGACGACGTGCCGATTTTTGTGGCGAATGATTTAAACAAACTTCCTCCAGTCACATTTGATCACGTCGATGTTACCAGCTTACTCAAGGATATCGTGTCCTTATAAAAGTGCCATTGTGGCACTGCACTCACTGGACCCAACTTTCTGCTGCGTGCTGCTACTCCGACCACGACAATGTACCTGTCCCGTTTACATTATGCCACTAAGGAGCAGGACATTGTCGATTACACCCGTACCAAGAGTAGTCTGACATTGAGGGTGACGCAGCTGAAGTCGAGTCACAACGCGAGTTTCAAAGCGTTTGTCGCCCTGGTCCCCACCAACTTGCTGCACACCTTCATGAAAGAGGACTACTGGCCGAAAGGTGTGGTATATCAGCGCTACCGTGCCAGATTACCGTCTTCAGTGCCGTGATCACACAGACAATATAATGTATTAGTTTTTAAATATTATATTATACTAGCTGTCCAGGCAAACGTTGTTTTACCTTAAAATAAAAAATAAAAATTTAGGGGTGGACTACCCCTAACATTTAGGGGGATGAAAAATAGATGTCGGCCGATTCTCAGACCTACTCAATACGTTCACAAAATTTCATGAGAATGGGTCAAGCCGTTTCGGAGGAGTATGGGAACGAAAACTGTGACACGAGAATTTTATATATAAGATGTATGTTAATCTATAAGGTATTTACAATATGGGCCTAGTTGCCTGAAATAAATGAATAAAGAAAATAAAATAAATAATATGTGTTCTGGAATATCCTAGGTATTGTAAAGGACCATAGACTATACTATACGTAGAACTTTATACAACACGTATCGTGTTAATAAAGTTCTATGGTACAGAAACTTCGTACCAATTCTTTTAAAGAAAATGTTGTACTACCAATAAATAAAAAACATCAAATGTATAATATTGACATTTTTTAAGGAATTTATATGTGACATTATATGTGACATTCACTTATGATATTTTAGGGAAATGTTTTTCATACACCAGAACTTTTCATCTCATGCTAAATATGATATAAGTCCTACTTTTATATTAGTGTTAAAAGTAAAGGTTTGAGAAGTTTAGTAAGTCGCAATATGTAACTTCACCATTTTAGTAATATCGATATCTATTATCTTCATCCATAACGACATCCTTGCGAGCATATGACAGTTTCATGACATTTCCCTGACATTTTATTCACTTTAATTGGTGAATTTGCAACTACCGTATCGATAAATATATTGCCATCTCTTTTTCTCATCTGCAGTTAAGAATTTGTGCAAAGAGGTTAGCACTGTTGTCACAGTTTTGTGTCCAATTGAACATTGTATTTATTTGTTTGTATGAATTAATTAATCTGGTGTTCACGTATAGATAACTACCTGTAGCGCGCCTTAATATAAAATTACTTAGTGAGTTAATTGTTGATTTTTTCTATAATTAATTTTATATTTTGTTTAGAATTCTAGAATTAGATGATCCGCATTTATAATTGAACATTGGTGAAACATAACCTAATTCGTATCAACCACTTCTGTTTCCCGAATAACTTTCAGGTACGCTTAAATATATGTTAATTAATTAAACTGATATTACAAAGTAAATATTTCTATATATTATAACTTATTATAAACACTATACTAAAATAGTCTTAGAATTGTTTAAGTAACGCATGCATTTTAGTACTGTTTGCAGTTTACATAACCACAGTCCGATGAAACATGTATGTATAATATAGATATGGGTTGTGTTACGATCTTCATGAATAAATTTGTTGCTGTCGTTTTAAAATAATATAATTGTTAATATACAGACAGCAAACAGAATGTACTTACGTAAGGGTTTAAAATGTGTATTAACTTTAGTGAGTGAGTAAACTTAAGTGAATACATAATCAAAAGTTACAAGTACTTCAATATATGATCTACTATATAACAAACGGAAAAAATAAAAATGTTAATATAGTTTAACAAGTTTTTGGTGGTTTGAATCCAGAAACATGGAAATGGATAGGTTTCTGATCTGTGGAATTTTTTTCTCTGCCCTATTTTATTATTTATCTCTTACATAAATTTGGATTGAGGAGGTTTAATACCTCTCCCACTAGTAGGTAAAGTACACACTGTATTTTATGCACACTGTCAATTTTAACATTTCATATATTTTTCCTTTCATTCAAAAAGTTAGATTGGAGGAATCTTTTTCCTTTCTACTAAATCAAACTGATATAGTATGTGATCTGTAATATCCATATTTTTTTGTCACATACTTGTTTAACTAACCAATTAATAAAATTTTATATCTAACTGTGGGATGATGAAAGACTTAAATCTAAGTCTAATAAATAAACATTTTGTATTGAGTACATTTGGTTTAAGTTTAAGATGATAATTATGTAGTAAACATATTAAGTAGAAGTACCACAAGGTAGCTATTGTGTGGTTATCTGTATTAAAGAAGCTTCATACCTAATTTAGTAGAGGAATCTGTAGCACCATATGCCTTTAAAGTAATAAAATAGGTCAAAATGCTTTCTTTTTAGTAAGTATTTAATATTTCATATCATTTTGAAAGCCATTCCCCCTTGGGCATCAATTATTGATAATCATTACAAATAAATAAAATGTAAGTGCCTGTTTGTAATTTCAAATAAACAGTTTTACACTAAATGCATAAGAAGGTATATACATCATCATCATCATTGCCTTGCCTTTATCCCATTATTTGGGGTCGGCGCAGTAAGTAGTATGTAAGGTATATACAGTACTGACATAAAACAATTAACTTAAATTTTTTTCTATCTGTCTCTCAATCATCTGAATAATATCTGAAACTGATTTTGATTGGATTTTCACTCGCAGATAACTAATCTTATAAGAAGTAACTTAGGCTAATTAATTTTAATAAAAAAAGTTTGATCCTGTCCAGATTAAGTTGTGTATAACAGGTAGTTAATTATATATTTTGCTGGATTTTATTGCTAAAGAGATTAACCACAAAATTCCACACTACACTAGATAGGCAAATGACTTGTCCTGTATTGTGAACTATTTTTATAGGTTCTTCATTTCTTCTGAGGGTTAACTTTCTTTTGGGTTCTACTTCTGTGTCTTTGACACACAATCATGACCATCGTCTTAATTAGAAAGGTATAAACCATGGCAATATTTTATGAACTTATTTTTGGAATTAGAGGAAAAACCTAAATCTAACAATTTGTGTTTTATTGTGGAAAGAAAAAATTTTAGACAAATTATGAGAAGATTTTAGTAGAGGATTTTTCGCAAAACAAAACTCCATAAAAATAAAATCGTTATGAGTGATTATTCTTCAAAACCTAAATTAAGGGGGACTTTCGAAATACCAGATAGTCATCAGGCAACACTGTTGAATGTGAGATACACACAAGGGAAGTGGCGGTCATTGCTCATTACTCAAGGGCAGAGTTTGACATTATAAATTGTAACATGTAAAAATATTTTAAGAATCAGATAAAAGAGCGTAATTTATCTTAAATTTATCTTATCATTACTCTTTTTGTTATATAATGTCACTGATCTATAACTTTAAAAATAAAATACCAAATATCTTTTAAACATACGGTTCATCACACTGATCAAGGACCAAGAGGAGAAAATTCACTGTTACCACCTAGTAGTGGTAATTATGTAAATTTAGATGTCTCTTCCTCGTCATTATTATGACAAACCATTACTGTCTCCTCATAAGAGGTTTTATGTCATTACATAGTATAAAAGAATGTCGCTGTCGCTGTCTGTCCCTATATATGTTTAAATCTTTAAAACTACGCAACGGATTTAGATGCGGTTTTTTTAAATAGATAGAGTGATTCAAGAGGAAAGTTTATATGTATAATACATGTACACCCGGGCGAAGCCGGGACCAGTAGCTAGTTTTATTTATAATTTTAAGTATTTATCCTCACTGCGTAGGCAAACTTTTTGCATAATGATCAACCATCACTGGATAACCTTGAGTGGAATACGAAGGGGGGAGACTTGAGGTCGACATTGCATGATCACAGGCACGACGGCTGTCATCTACCGTTCCCCTCAGCCCGCCAGTATACAACGACGGTGCGCGCGCCACGCGCGTTCATACGTGCATTCGTAATACAAACTCGTGTTATTTGTGAACTTTCACTAGCTTAAACCCTGTTTACAATTGCGTCACTTATCCAGATCTCTAGGTGAGCCGCCTATTCATACACCTGGCATTAATCACGTACATTAGTGTTAAAATATTGGGTGTCGCAATTGCTCGTTAGTTGAGATATCTATATGGAATGCCGATATCAACGTGGTTAACTTGATTTCTCACGAAGCATTCTTGATGTCGATTTAAAAAGATATGATTGATTATCTAGTGTTCATACAAATACATTGTTTGTCAGATACAGTGGATAACGTGTTCCGGTCAGGTAACGTAAACAAACCGAGGCTAACTGATAGTATGTCTGCATAAAATGGATTCATCACTTTTCTGATAATATTACATCTAACCTGCAATAATTTGTAAACATAATTTCGAACTGCGACAACTATGTACTGTAACTAATAACCTACTCGCATTATTGTACTTATCCTTTACATAGATATCTACTTGTATATTCGGAAAACTGTCTAAGTTAGCGTTATTATTAATAAGATGTGTTTGCTAATAATTACAATAGTGAGAAGTGCGCAAAAACATCACAACAATTTACCGAAGCCTGTATAGCCTGAATTAAACTTACATCCGGCACACCTGAGTGGACCACAGTGACCATGTATGTTTATAAATACACTAGCGCAATTAACTATAGATTTATAAGATACATACAAGACATCGTGAACTCTGCACACAATCAGCAAAACGTGAATGACATGGAGAAATGTACTTTAGTAAACATTGTCATTATCATGCAATCTTCGCGGGAAATCTGATAAACAACTTTATCTAAGACCATGTATGTGTATACATACACCACAAGCGTACAGATACAGTTAGGTATATATGAGATGTTCTGTCTCGCAGTGTAGTGACAAAGATAATGTAGGGGAAAGGGGGGTAGCCCCGGCCAATTTCATTTTTTTGATATTGTGACTATTATCGAGAGAAATACATACAACGAAAACTACAAAAAATAATCAACAATATATTTATTCGTATTAGAATATTGAATATTTAAACCTAAATAATATCCAATCACGATTAAACCCACTTCAATTTTTGGTAAAATGTTGGTATCTTTTTAAAGTGGTAGCAGCAGTAGTATCGTAGCCCCGGCCACCTACGTAATTAGTGGCGAAATCGTTTTTTAGCGACACACATCACAGTTGTAATACAAATCCGATGGATTTATATCTGCGCATGCCTCGTGAGCCCAGTGTTGCCTCTCTCAGAACATCTTTTCTTAAGCACCGCTTGAATAGCTTTTTTCATGTTTACTTCACTCCTGTCTCCGCGATTCGTAGTTCTAGTTTTAAATTACGGTATAATTATGATACTGCAAACGAATATTTTTTGGAATGAAAACTTACAATAATAACATCAATATAGAATAATAAATATTTAACATGTGGCCAGGGATACCCTTGGGGGTATCCAAGACTAGTGACCGGGGTTACCCGACTTGACTTTCTTCAGAAAAAAAATCTTTTTAAAAAGCAGATAATTACGTTGAAATAGACTTCAAAGTGCAAAATAGAATAGTATTCCATTATGTAAACAAAATCAAATAAATAATTACTTACGTTTATCCAATGAATAATGTTTTTTGAAACAATTGAAATCAAGCGGCCATCGTCAACAAAAAAGAAATTCAGTCAATTACATCCGAACGCAGTAGTCAATCGACTTCAGCTGTTAGCATTTGACGAATGAGATCACACGAAATTCAAACTCACGCCGCGCGAAGTTCTAATATTTGCTATGGCCGAGGCTACCCCCCGGCCGGGGCTACCCCCCTTTTCCCCTACATGTCGCCACTCTTCATCCCCAAAATGTAGCAAGGGATTGTTACTAATGTGGACTAGTAACTCTATTGCTAGCAATATATCAACGTAGAAGTTGACCTCCTCCCCTGGAAACCATCGTGGTAATTTGCCAAGATGGACTAGCTGACCTGATTTCATGCTCAATTTATCGTCGTCCACTGGTACCCCGCCAGCGTAAGCCGTTAGTGCAGCCGGGTGCGCCATTACAGTCCGTAAAAAATGTAATGTAATCGTAGTAATCTACAACCGGAAGAAAAGCCAGGAGATAGAAAGTAAGAAGTCATCTGCGTGGAAACCTCTCATTATCCTATTTCAGCCACCAGCTGCTAATGTGATAACGTGATGTTTGTAGCGCTGTTTATACGATCGCCCCCGATCGGCCACTTGGCGATTTAGTACCAAAATAACGCTATATTGTTTACTAATACCTCAAACCGGCTTTGCACGGATGCATTACAAATCTTTGAATTTCTTGGCTTGCTCTATACTATAACACGCAAGTATTGTACATATAAACCTTCCTCTTGAATTACTCTATCTATTGCTGCTATATTATT